TGTTTGGGCTGTGGGCGCTCCTTAAACTCATGATGATATCGATCCCGCTGCTCGCGCTGTGGCGCGGGCTCAACCAAGCGGAGGAGGACGCGGAGGCGGGGGGCACTGAGGGCCGCGCCGACGGCGGCGGCGACACCGGCGGCGAGGGTGCGGCGGACGCGCAGCGGCAGCACCCGTTCCTCGTCGCGCTGCACTCGCTGCAGCAGCACCAGTGGCGGCAGCAGCCCGCGCGGGAGGCGCAGGAAAGCGGGGGCGAGGCGTCCGCGGCGCCGGGCGGGGCGAGGCTGGTGGGGATAGTGTGAGCGCGGCGCACGAGCAGGCAGTGTTGCCCCATCGCAGGTCGCGGCTGCCTTGAGGCGAGCGGCTACGCGGCCTGTGGCTCCTCGTTTGCGCCGGGATCGGTGTGCAGTGGCGCTTTTGGGGTGCTGCTTGCAGGTGGGGGCGGACATGATGTATACACGTGCGGGCTCCTCAATTGATCTCCTCTTTGACGCTTCGTTCCGCCAGTATTAGGGCCAGGAGCCTCTTCTCATTTGCTTTGGAATGTACATGTCTGTACAAGCGGCGCTGTTGGTGCCGCATCAAACCGAGTGTGTCAGGCCAGGCCGCCTCCCCACGACCCCCTTCAACTTGAGGGGCCGTCTTGCAGCCCGGCAAGGGCTTCGTGTACAGTGCAATGCCGGCAGCCCTTTGGGCCGTTGAGCACGACCACCCACTGCCTGGTATGAGCCGCCCAAGAGTTTCAGGCTGGCGGCCTGTCATCCCCCTGGCCAACCATGACAGCAAAGCCTGAATACGCCGTGTAGTGAGTTGTGGGCATGGGTGCTTTGTTTGCGCCCCGGCACCTGTAAAACATTTGTAATCAACGTCCTCAATGTCTGTATGTTGGGGTTGATCATGATTGATCATTCAGCAGGTGGGTGGTCGCAGTGGGGCAACTCAGGTCAACTGTGATCATGTGGCTCCCAGCGATGTGGTCCTCTAAGACTGCCCAATCCCGAGTCCTTTGATATACGATCCAATCTGCAAAGCTCTTACGCGCAGCACCCTGCCAGGGCAGCAGAGGGCAATGGCTGGCAGGTGCTGCCGCAACGCATTCGCAGCACCCCGCCCCCCCCCCCCCTTCCACTTGCAACAACGGCAGCCGACCAGCTGCATGCATGAGTAGAGGGCTAAGGGGGGGCTTGAAGGCTGGGGCTTTGCTGTCAGCTCTCTGCGGGTGCCATGCTTTGACATCGTGACGTGATACAGCTTGCTGCCTGGCGTGCACTTCCTGCGCCTGCAGGCTGCGACAGTCCGTCACGCGACGCGCCTGCGCAAGCGGGGCCTGTTGGCTTGTTGCTTACATAACCTGCGGCGAAAAAACCCAGACGGGAAGCAGACACCATAAAAACCTGCCAGCCTTGTTAAAAAAGGGCGGTGCTGTGCGTGCTGTCGGGAAAACCCCAACCTGGCGCGCCCTTGCAAGGCCGCTCGCAGTGGCGCGCGCCATCGCACTCACACGCACAAAAACGCTCCGCGCCAGCGCCCGCGCCGCGCGCCCCGCAGCGCCGTGGCCCTCACTGCTGCTTGAGCACGAGGCTGGGCTTGGCCACTCCGCCCTCCTCAGCGTCCCCCCACTCGTGGCCGGGCAGCGCGGCGATAAAGCGGCGGCCGCAGTCCAGGGCGTCGAGCGCCGCCTTGTCGGCGTTGGTCAACCGCCAGTCAAAGGCGTGCGCGATGTTCTCCGCCAGGTGGGGCGGGCTGGAGGCCTTGGGGATGACGGGGACGCCGCGCTGCATGTTGTAGCGCAGCAGCACCTGGCGGCGTGGTGGTTTGTGTCAGGGAGGGCACGAAGGAAGTGTATCAAGTTAGACCTGATCTTTGTGAGGGGGAGAGAGAGTCGGGTCACGGGAAGAGCAAGGAGCGTGGGGCATGGGGGGTCGGCGTGGAGCAAGGGTCGCGGGCGAGAAAACGGCTGGCAGGGCACGGAACAGTTTGCAGGTGCGCGTACGAGCGGGTGCATGACAGTCAGGGGTGTGTGAGCGTAGCCAATCCCAGGATTGTCAGCAGGCCTGGTGACAGCAAGACCAAGACAGCCGAGGCGGCCACCCCATGCACAAGCTAATCTGCAGCGACGACGCATGCCCATTGCAGGCGCCCCTGCGCACCGCAGAAGACTCACTGCGCCCACCTACCAAGCCCCCCAAACACACCCACCCACCCCCCCCCACACACACACATACACACACATACACACGAACCCCCAGGCCCCAGCGCACCTGTGCTGGCGTCCTGTCGTTGCGCTTTGCGATGTCCAGCACCACCGGGTGCCCCAGGGCCTCAGCCTGGTCCTGGTAGTGGCCCCCCAGGGGCGCGTACGCCACGCACGCCACCCCCTGGCGGAACAGCACCCCCACCATCTTGCGCTGCGCCAGCAGCGGGTGCAGCTCCACCTGCGGGGGCGGGGGCGTGGCGGGGACGCAGCACGGCCCAGGGCGGGGCGCGGTTTCTCAGAGGTGACTGCGGATCGCAGGCGGCGCGGCGGGGGCGTGCTGGCCGCCACCAGCGGCGGGGGCCATTCAGGCGGTGCGTAATCAACCCGGGGTCGAGCCGAGGGATGCCGCGCGATCCGTCATGATCAGCTCCCAGTGTGCGTGGGCTGGTGGCACGGCTGCGGTGTTCCCATCATGACATGCACATCAGGGACCGCTGGCCGCGCCCCCCTCCACACACACGCACGCACGCACGCACGCGCACACACACACACACACACACACACACACACACAACACCACACGCACCTCGTTGACGAGGGGCTTGTGCTTTGCCACCCTGAGCAGGCCCTCCACCTGGGCCGTGCTGCAGTTGCTGACGCCCAGGCCGCGCACCAGGCCCTCGTCAACCAGAGCCTCCAGGGAGCGCCTGGGGTGGGGGTGGGTTGGATGTGGGGGGCATGTTGGGTGTGGGGTGGCCCTGGGGACCCGCCACGAGCCCACGTCGCGGCTGGAGGCCTGCCTCCGCGGTGGGGCAACGCGTCAGACTGCAACCCCGACCCCCCACGAAACCCCAAGCGATAAGGCGAACCTTCCAACAACAAATTTATCTATTCAAGTCATTCGATCAGTAGGTCAAACGACAGCCCACCATGTGTCCTCCAGGGTCCAGTCTGGGTCAACCTTGACCTCCCCCTTGGGGTCACTGCCGGGCAGCCAGGTCTCGGGCCAGTGCACCAGCAGCAGGTCAAGCTGGTCAACCTGGGTGTGTGTGGAGGGGGAGTTGGACGAGGGTGCGTGGCGTGTGTATGTGCACGCGTGTGTGCGAGTGCTATGTGCATCGTGTGTGTGTGTGTGTGTGTGTGTGTGTGTGTGTGCGTGTGTGTGTGTGTGTGGGTGTGCGTGCGTGTGTGTGTGTGTGTGTGTGTCTCGTGCGTGGTGGTGTGCGTGGTGGTGTGCGTTGTGGTGTGCGTGAGAGGGAGTGATGAGAAAGAGAGACTGTTGCGAGCCAGCTCCGAGCCGGGCTGTCGTGCTGGCCGTGACACGTTGACAAGCAGTGGAGTCGATGGCAGGGGGTGAGGGGGAAGCGAGGCTCTGCTTTTGATGGGCGCGTGAGGGACAGGCGTTGATACAGCGCGCTGTGCTTCGGGCGGCCCCTGGATCGCATCAATGCATGAGGACCGAGGAGGGAGGGGACAGACAGTGCCGCGGGTGTCCTGGCCCGCTAGGGACCAAGGACGCCGCCACACCAAACCCCGGCCCCTACCG